TCTAAAACTAATGATGTAATGTATGGGGATTAATATAAGAATAAAAAAATATATATATATGTATATATAATTGAAACAAGCTCCACAAAAAACTTATCCTTTCCCATGCAAAATACACTCATTTTTTTAACTCTATCACAACCACTAAAGCAGTTTCATAATCCACTAATGGATCAAAACCTACTTTTGAAAAATCCTGACCTCTAGACACTGAAAATTATGCCAAAGTTTCAAGTTTCATTCTGCAATTAGTCTCATATGTCTTTTCTTCGCCTACCTTACTGTCACCTTTTTGGCAAACGTTTAAGTTTCATGGATAACAATGAACAAAATGTGTGCATTTTACATGTCATTTACATATTTATATCAAAAACAATCAAATTTTAATAACCAGGAACTTCTATTCCTGCCAACAGAATCTAATCTGCAAACTTTTCCTTGTTTTGAAGTTTAAATACTGGAGAGACCCTAAGATACAGCATCATACATTCAGGAACACAGCCAGACTGTACCACATCTCCAAGGGATGGGAATGGGGAACTCAACTCAGATTCTTCCTAGAAACATTTTTTTTTTTTTTTTGAGTAAAGTGATAGCAGTTTATTAAGTGAAGATACAGAAAAAGCTCTCAAGAATGAGAGGGGTCCCAACAGGGTCGCCCCTTCCTAGAAACATTCTTAATGCTATTGTGCTTGCCCTGTCTCATGGCTGAAGCACCATGTGCTTCGTTTAACAAGAACTAAGCTGTGTGAGGTCAGTTTAACTGCAGTAACAGCAAAGCAGCATAAATACATGAACTGTGGTAGCTGATGGTAGACAAGGTCTGTTTCTTCAGGGCTGTACACCAGCTAGGGAAGGAAAAATAGAAAAGTTGGAGAGATTTTAGGGGGCAATGAAATAGCAGGGTCAGTTACAAGGTGGGGCTCAGGTACTTACTTTGCGGCTTTGGCATATCATTTTAACAGCTCAGCCTCAGTTTACACACACAAACATGACGAGCTTTAAAAACAGCATCCACCTATAGTCCATCAATGTGTCTCCTTGCACTTTTCTTATCATTACAGGTCCTCTTGCCCCAGGTTCCATTAACCAAATGAAATGCTCGCTATATATATACAAAAACCTTCCAAAAACTACTGTGGCATAAATGTGAAGTATTATAATCATTCTTGACCGAGAACAACAAACTGCAATATGATTTTTCTAAACATTTAGGAACTACTATTTTAACGCTTATTACCCAAGTAACCCAGCACCAACTCATTTTTCTCCACTCACAGGAGTAATATCACCAAACTTTGTCCTTGGGTGGCAAATTGCCAATTACTGAACCAGATACAGGATACTCTTACAAAATGATTTACACTGGGGAATGTAGCAGTAAATGATAAAATGAGCCCACAGAGAATGCTCACTGAATCACTCAATAATAACAACTAACATTTACTGAGCACTTACTACACCAGTCATATACACTGCCTCATTTATTTCTCTGAGGACCCTGAAAGGTGGGTAGCATAAGCTCTACTTCATGTTTGAGTAACAAAAATCTTAAGGTGTTGGGAACACACGCTTCAGAATAATATCCTTTCTAAGACTCATACTCTAATCCTCAAAGATGTAAAATAAAAAGGTTTAATAAAATCAGAGCATCTTAAAACTTCAGTGGCAAGGATCCTAACTAACCCAGGGACCTGGGAGCAGAGACTGAAGCAGCTACTACATATCACTCTTCATTTTCTAGCTTTAAAAAAATAACATGACTTTATAATTTTATCCCATAATATATGTGCACATTTAAGAGAACGACTTCCCCCTCTAATCTTCAAGTAAAATTGATGCTCTAGGTGGACACATCGCCAGTATGAGGACCGAATGTCCTCCTTACATTCCTCCCAGCTCTCAATTCTGTGACTCAAGATCTAGGGTTACAGTATAAGAACAGCGGACCAGGAGTCAGAGGACCTCAATTCTAATGGTCACAGTCTCTTTATTGGTTACTAAAGCTTTGGTGAAGTCACTTGGAACTTCCTTAGTTCTGATTCTCAGTTTTTAAAAATTTTAGTTCAGGACACTTCATAGAGCTGTGTGGCTAAAATGAAAACACACAGATGAAAGGATACTGAAACCTATACAAACTTTTTTAAGTAGCCAAACTCTCATTTTTCAATGAGGCCCTCCAAATTAGTGACTTGCTCAATGTGACAAAAGCAATTTGAGTTGAGTCCTGGATATGAAACCAAATCTAGATATTTTTCTACTATTTCAGACTGGTATACATAATCCAAAACTATGATTTTCAACAGGAAATTTAAGATTAGGCCAAAGTTTTATTCTTGAGGCATATTATGTGACTTAAGTCAACAGAAAAGCAAAGGGGGAGGGGGCAACAAATTTTTGCTAGCCTATTATTGACTATTATTTGTTGTAGATAATGGACAACAAAGCTCTAAATACCTGAGTTCTAGTCCTGGTTCTATTTTTGGTTTTTATGCAAGCTGCCTAGTTTTCCAGAGTCTTAGTTTCTTTTTCACAAACAAGGCAAAAAGTTAGTCTTTATCTACCTTCCAGGACTAACCATACAAATCCAAGATATTAATAACAATACTTGCAGCACTTACATACACTAATCTAAATGTTTCTGCATTACTAAACATGTTCACCTTCACAACCACTCTGAGGTGGGTACTATTACCCCTGTTTTACAAACGAGGAACGAGAAGCACAATCACCACTATGAAGCCAAACCTAGATTCAAATGTAAGCAGCAGAGCTTGGATCCATGCATCTAATCATTGCTCCACGTTTTCCCTCAGCATCACTATTATCATCTCTTTACACAACTGTTAAATAGAAACAGAGAACAACTTTAAAAAGGGAAAATATGCAGACTGCTGTAACTTTAACAATGACAACTATGATTTTTTTTAAAGTCCAAGTTCGCCTTGACTTAAGAGCCCGGATAAAGGTTTCTTTTATTTATCAACTAAAGTCACTTCATCTAGAAACTAAGAGACTCTATTTTAAGATCTGAAAAATACCTAAACATACTCCCCCAAAGCATAGTTAGATGTACCCCTACTTTCAACTTAAAAATTTAGCAGAGAGTCCCCCCACGGTAGTCATGATGGAGTTAAAACTCTGTCTTAAATACTAGCTTTTGAAGTTTTACACACAGTGTCATCTAAACACTCACGATACCTGATGCTTCCAAATCACATTAGACTGATTCGATTTGACTACCGTATACCTGCAGTACCCACGTACACGTGAGTTGGGGCAGACGTGGTGGAAAGACTCAACAGTGAATGACATCTTACCTGAGATGAGGCCCTAACAGAAAAGCCTTCCCTAACTCGGCAATGTCCCCTCTAAGAAAATCTTCACCTGGATTCACATTCATTACATTAAACCGGCTACTTCACTTTACCTCCACAACCTAATGCAGACTTCAAACTTGGTTAAAAGAGGGTGTATAAACGGGAACTGAGCAGACGTTAAAAAAAAAAAAAAAAGGCATGAAGTTTCAAATGACTGAGAATGGAAACGAGCCTGGGAAAGTCAAGAGTTTGAAGAGTGAGAGTACCACACACTGGACGTGGAAGAGAACACGTGGTGAGCCTGCTGCACCCAAGGGTTCAGGGGTGGGGGGGGGGTTGTCCGGAAGCAAGGAAATAGACTTACTCATTCCAATCTCCTAAGGCAAAGCCGATGAGCTAGAGAAATCGGAAAAGAGTACTACAGCCCCAAGAAGGGGCTCTGTCAAAATCCAGGACGTTGAAGAGCACATGTTGCTGCGCGAGGCTTGGCAGAAGGAAGTCGCCCCGGGGAACTGGGGGCCTACGCGAACATGGCGGCCCCGACGACAGCCGGGCGCGGGGCGCAGACCGCATGGAGCCAGTCGGTAACGCTCCAGTCTACGGCCCGTCCAATCGGGCCGCGCCCTCTTTCGCTACTCTGCGGGCAGGCCGCACGCGGGACTGGCGAAGTGGACCGAGTCCGCGCCGCCGCCGCACTCCGTGCCTCCTCACCCCGGGCCTCGGAGGGCCGCGCGAGATGCCCGGCCACGCGCCGTCGGACTGCGGGTGCGCTGAGGCCGAGCCCGGGCGGACGCCCGCCCCCCACCGTCCCGCCTGCTTTACCTTGGCCTGCAGCCGCGCTGGCGCCCAGGCCAGGCAGGTGCAGGTACCGCTGAGGTGCGCGGAAGGCACGTACTCTTGGTGCAGCCTATTGTTGGCTGTCTCCCACACTCGCAACTGACCGTCGGCAGACGCCAAAGCGAAGTATGCCTGGTTCAGCGGAGAGAAGGCGCAAGGAACCCCTGCCGGGGACAGGGGGTCCGCAACACCACCGCCACCCGCCGCCATTGCTGCCCTGGCTCCGCGGCAGCCACGTGTTCGCCTGTGCGCATGCGCACCGGCGTGGGGCGGGGCCTGGAGGGAGGGAGTGGGGCGGAGGGAGAGCAGAGAGCCGAGGGAGTGGCTCGTCGCGTCTCTAGCAAGCGTTGGGCGGGCCCAGCCTGTGGACGGTGGCCCGGAGGGCCCAATGCTAATTTGTACTGGTTGGGGGAGGGGACGTGTGGAGGGATGTGACTGCCTACTGGAGAGGAGGCCCGTTCCTTTAAAAAAAAAAAAAAAAGAAAGGAAGAAAAAGGTTTGGGTTTGTTTTTTTGTTTTTTTTTTTAATAACATGATTGAACTGAATGTTTAAAAGACATAATCACTTATAACTCCATGACTGTGGTAACTGTTTTCATTTTTTCTTATCCACTTGCAGGCTATAATCACGTATACAATAACAATTTATTCAGTCATAGTGTGAAAGTAACGGTGGGATCTGCTATCCGCTCCCTTATTTCGTCAGGATTAATCCCATGTTACTACATCAAATAGACAATTCGTAATGACGGCATAGTATTTCACCAAATCTATGCATTGTGATTCAAGAAATGCCAGATTAATATTATTCAGCCCACAGTTTATTGCCCAGCAGGAAAGACAAAAAACACCACCCTCGGGGATATGGGGAGACTGAAGCTTTTACAGCCAGGGGGTGCCACGGTAACATTTGCGTTTTAAATTATTTGTAATGACAACCATCTACATTTTTTAAAGGCCTCCTGGACTCCATGGAGATGGTGGTAAAGGGGCAAGAAGGAAAACCGACACAATATAGGACAGTGCTGGGTCAGACTCAGATGAAAACAGTAAAGGTGGGGAGAAGTGCCCAGATTTCAGATAGAATCTGAAGTTAGAGTCAACAGGGCTTGCTAAATGATTGCAAAGGGTGAGAAAAAAACAAGTGAAGGACCTCCAGGGTCTGAGCAAACTAGTGAATGGTAATTCCATCAACTAGATTGGGTAAATGGGTTTGGTTGGAGTGGAAATCAAGAATTCTGTTTTGGACAGTTAAGTATGATATGCCTACTGTACTTCCAAATAGAGTTGTTCACTGGGAGTTGGCTACAGGAGAAGATCACAGAGATATAAGTTTGGATGCACTAGCATACAGATGCTATTTGAAACTGTGGGACTAGTCAGATCATGTTGGGTGCAAGTATGGATAGAAAAAGAAAACTTAGCCCCAAACTGTGCAATCTTTAAAGGTCAGGAGGAGGAGGAAGATCCAGCAAAGAAGATTAAGAATGGGTAGGATAAAAGCCCAGGAGACTGAGATGTCCTTGAAACCAAATCTTTATAAGGATTTAGGAAGCAAGACTTGATCAAAGCCATGTCAAATGCTGGAAGATGAAGACTGAGCATGAACCAGGATTTGGCAAGATCAAGGTCATAGGTGACTCTTGAAAAGCATTTCACGGGCACCTGACTGGCTCAGAAGATAGAGCATGCAACTCTTGATCCCAGGGTTATGAGTTCAAGTCCCACGCTGGGTATGGAGATTATTTAAAAATAAAATCTTGGGCGCCTGGGTGGCTCAGTTGGTTAAGCGACTGCCTTCGGCTCAGGTCATGATCCTGGAATCCCGGGATTGAGTCCCACGTCGGGCTCCCTGCTCAGCAGGGAGTCTGCTTCTCCCTCTGACCCTCCCCCTTCTCATGCTCTCTGTCTCTCATTCTCTCTCTCACAAATAAATAAAATCTTTAAAAAAAAAAATAAATAAGTAAATAAATAAATAAATAAAATCTTAAAAACACACACGCACACAAAAAGCAAAACAAAAGCATTTGGGGTGGGGGACCTACTATAGAGAGCGAAAGAGAAAAAGGGATGTGAGAAAGTACAGAAAAGGGATTTTCAGAAAAGTTTTCAAGGATTTTTGTTATAAAGGAGCATATATGAGTCTGAATGAAGAAAAGTCTGAGCTAGAGTTATAAATTAGTCATAAATATACAAATAATACAAGCTTATTGTGCACTCACTGTATGTCTGGTACTGTTCTCAGTGTTTTATGTACATTAATCCATTTAGTCCTGTGAAAAGTCACAGCTACCTATTATGACTCTTATCCACTTTAAATTCATGGTCGCAAACTTCACGTGGGAAGTCAATGCTGCCAAGTTATCAGTTGTTCCCTGGTCCATTCATACTTCCATTCTTCTCCTAGATACTGATTCATCTCTTTCTTTTCCTACCACTTCAAACCTATCCCTCCCTACCTGCTCTCAGTGAATGACTTTGCTTCCTATTTCTTGAGAAAATAGAAGGAATCATAAGAGAACTTCCACAAGCTTCCAGTACCATGAACTCTAACCAACCTGTGCTCCATCACTCCTGGCACTACGGATGGATTGCCCATGCTCCTAGAAAAGGCCACCCCTCCACATAAGTTCTATATCCCATTATTCAAAAAAGTCTTTCCTCTCTCTACTAGCATCAGTTTTACTTCTCAGCTTAATCCTTCTCATCAACACATAAACATACTGTTATTTCTTTCTTCCTAAAAAATAAAATTTCCCTCACCTTACTTCCCCCCCTACAGTCACTGTCCCAATCTTTTCTTTCCTTAAAAAAAAAAAAAGTAGTCTAATTTTCTTAATCTCTCTCCTCTAATTTCTCTCCTCCAATGGGACTTTCATCCCAATCCACCACTACACCAAAATTCTCAGTAAGGCCACCAGTTACCTCCATATTGCTAAATATGTGTCCATTCTAAGTCTGCATCTCATGTGACCTGTCATTAGCATGCTTGTCTTCCATGCCATCACACCCTCCTGGCTTCCCTCTTACTTCTCTGCCTCCTCTTCTCAGTCTTCTCTCTTGGATCTTATCTCTCACTCTCTAACATCAGGGTGCCTTAGGGCACTTCTTTACCTGGGCATGTGACTTTCCAGAATAAAGATTACATTTTCCAGCTTTCTTTGCAAACTGTGAGGCCATATGACTACGAGCCAGTACAAAAATGTCCTTAAAGTGACAGGGTATGCTATTCGTCATTGCTTTTTTCTTCTTAATTCCTGGAACTCAAATGTGATGGCCAAAAGCTAGAACATCCATGATGGACTTTGAGGAGAAAACATGCTGAGAATAGCAGAGCAGCAAGACAGAAGGAACTAGAGACTCTGAAGCATCATCTATGTCCTGGACCAACGCCTTGGACCTCTTTTATACAAGAGAAAATAAACTTCCCTCTTGTTTAAACTACAGTATTTTGGGTTATGTTACATGCAGCTAAACTAAACTGTGCTCATTTTTTTATATCCTTTGCCTCAGTTGGTGATACCACCAGCCATCCAGTTAGCCCCTGGAGAAAGCCAGAAATCAGGCCTGTTTATTAACCAATCCCACATCTCACTTCTGCCCAAACACATAGGCACACCTGATCAATCATCAGATTCTGTTTTATCTCTTAAATAATTCTCTATTCAATTTCCTCACCTCCAACCAATTTTACCACCTCTGTTCTTTTTTCTTTGAGGGGGGGTTCCTTTTTTATTTAAATTCAATTAATTAACATATAGTGTATTATTAGTTTCAGAGGTAGATTTCAGTGATTCATCAGTTGCATACAACACCCAGTGCTCATTCCGTCATGTGCCCTCCTTCGTGCCCATCACCCAGTTATCCCAGCCCCCACAACTCCCCTCCAACAACCCTCAGTTTCTTTCCTATGCTTAAGAGTCTCTTATTGTTTTTCTCCCTCTCTGATTTCATCTTGTTTTATTCTTCCCAGGTTTGTTTTTTTTTACTAACCAGAATCATGCTGTATGTATTGTTCTTTGATGTGCTTGTTGGAGATGTTCTCAGACTAGCACACTCCTTTTATCCATTCTAAATTCCACAGAAATAGTGTCACTGTTTGGGTTGCTTCATTCTGCTGTTATAATTATGCCCACTTTTGTGCACAAACTTGAGCACAGGGGCTGGAATTTGAGGGGAAGAGTGCCAGTTTGAGCCCTTGGCAATCTGAGGTGAAGGCATGTTGACTTGGCATTGAGCAGGTGGCAGGCCATGCATGCTGACTCGGGCAGAAGGGTGGCTGGACTGTGAATTTGGGACCCACAGGCTGATGGCATTGTGTGTGATGGGGACGTGGCTGGTTTTGCTTTTAAATTTTGTTTTTCTGGGAAACTCGATCTCTCCTTCTATTCTAAATGAAAGCCTTGCTGGATATTCTTGGCTGTAGATTTTTTTTCCTTTTAGCAGTTGGAATTGATCATGCCAGTTCCTTCTGGCCTGCAGAGTTTCTACTGAAAAACCCACTGATAGCTGTATGGAGTTTCCCTTGTATGTCACTGCTTTCCTTTCTCTTACTGCTTTTAAAAGTCTCTCTTTATCACTACTTTTGGCCATCTTATTTACTTTGTGTCTTGGTGCAGAACTCTTTGGGTTGGTTTTGTTGGGGGCTCTCTGTGCCTCCTGGATCTAGATTTCTCTTTCCTTCCCCAGATTCAGGAAGTTTTTAGCTATTATTTCTTCAGACAAATCTTCAGCCGTCTTTTCTCACTCTTCTCCTTCTGGGATCCCTGTCATGTGACTGTTATGCTTGACAATGTTGCTGAGTTTCCTGGGTCTATTCTCATTTTGCGTATTTTTTCCCCTTCTCATCTGCTCAGCTTGATTACTTCCCATGACTCTGTCCTCCAGGCAGCAGATCCATTCATCTTCCTCTTGTTTGCTATTTATTCCAGGTGGTCTATTTTTATTTCCATTTAGTGAGTCCAATAGCTCTAGTTCGTTCTTTTTTATGTCTCCTATCTCTTGGTAGAGGGTCTCATGGAGGGCCTGCACTCCTTTCTCAATTCTAGCAAGTCTCTTTATGAGCATTACTTTAAATTCGCTATCAGACATATTACTTATCTCCATTTCGCTTAGGTCTCCTGCTCTGATTTTGTTCTTTCATTTGGGACATATTCCTCTGTCTCTTCATTCTGTCTACCACCTCTGTTCTTATTTGAGCCTTATCTCTCTCACTGTAACTGCCACCAATACTTGTAT